ATACTATAAAGTTTAGGCCTACATTTGAGAACATAGGATGTTGAGTTGTTTTTTCGACACCCCAAAGTGCCTCAATAATTTCCACATTGACTGTCTTTCTCGACTATCAAATTACTTTAATTTATGAAGTAAATGTAAAAAGATAAGTTGCACTCTTGAGTCTGTTCAATGCTAATGGTCAGGTTAGCAATTTGATCTATGCTATATCGTTCCTTCCTGAAGCCCACCTATAATCTCGAAGTCGGGGTTCTATCGATGCCTTTATCCCGTTTAATAATATGTTGTGAAGATTTTGTATGATATGGACAAAAGTGTTTTCCCTCTTAATGCAGATTATGCAATAAGATCGCATCTAGTCCCTCCTTCCACTCCTCTGGTATTTGTTCATCTTTCCAGTTTTTTCTGAACAGCGTGTAGTAGTGCGGTGCTAGTTTCATTATGTTGCAATATTTGTTGTCAGTGCTTCAGCCGGTATAACTTCTAATATTTAGGCTGCTTTATGGCTTTATATATCTCGTCTTTTGAAGTTGGGGTACTGTGGATAAAAATAAATCCTTCATTTTTCACGCAGGTTAATTTGGTTTTTATTACCTTTCTATTCATCTCTCCTTCCGCATCTACAACCTTCACACGTTTGATTCTAGATTTAATATCCAGGCCTATAAAAACCCTCTGGCTTACTGAATTTCCCAGATATCTTTTTAATTGTATTTTTAAGTTCCCTATGGTAGAGCGCTTCTTTTGCCTCGCTTGCCAGCAATTATATATAACTAGCAGAGCGTTCGCCCTGAGCTGCGCTACACGCTGGTGTCTGTAGCAGGTCAGTTATGTATGGGTCGCATTGTGTGGACAATCCTACAGCGCGCGGTGCTACGCACGGGTGGTGGTAGCACGTTCCTAGTGTATGCGTCACATCAGTTTTTGAATATTGATATTTCTTCAGCTTTGCATTAACATTTTTAATATTGTAAAACAAACTTTAAAAACAAAAACCGTGATTCACTTAATCTGAGTTAGTCATAAAAATTACGAGGCGGTTTCTTTCTATAACGAGCCTCATATGAATCTATTAATATAAGGTCAGCGTGTTAGGGTGAAGCCGAATTACAAATAGATCATGTATCATGGCTGCGCAACGAGTTCAACAGCGGTATCTATAAAGAATGTTTAATAATAAACTATTAAACCAAACATCTAAAAATCGCAATCATTTAGTGCCATTCGCGTGCTTTGAGATTTCCCTTTGTCAACTTTCTGTGTGGGAACATTAAAACAAAAACATAATTCACATTGACTACTTAGCATCCGTTTATGGTTTTAGTTAAACTATATCCTAATTTGACCTATTTCAAATGTTACCTTATAGCATCAACAAACAAAACAACCAACTTTTAGCCGGAAACCAATCTATGTATAATTATATACTACTAAAACTCAACCTTGTTTACATGTTTAAATATTTATTTGTTTATTTTTTGTTTGTTTGTTTGTCCGTTTGGTTACAGAAGAGAATCTGCACTATGTGTAGAGCTGTAAAAATAGTATGTAAGTAGAAAACAATTTTCTTTTTCAGACAGACTATTAATCACAAATTAATTTAAAGACGTTAATTAATTTATTGATTTATTTTTTGGTAGACAAAACACATTAATTATAAAAATTCTGAAGAATGACTTTACTTATAGTGAATAGTAACGTCACATGATTTGTTTAGTTTTTGCTACAAAATCTCGACTTAACAAAACCAGTCGTAGAATCTAGATAACTCTATCTAGATCTAGATAATAATAATAAGTTTCTATACTTAACTATTTCAGACCTTCATTATTTTATATAAATCTTTGTTTGTTTAGATATGGAATCGGCTAATTTAAGAAAAATAATAATTTAAAAGACACTAGATTTAGATTCTAGGGCCCATTCGCGTAAATAAAAAAAAAACGTCAATGATATCACTAGTCTAGATAGCTAAGTTGTTAGTGTAATAGGCTTCAATGCGGGTGGCACGGGTTCTAGACGGGATCTGGACAAAAGGCCGACAAGACAAAAGGCCGACAAGACAAAAGGCCGACAGCCAAAAGGCCGACATCCGAAAGGCCGACAATACAAAAGGCCGACAAGTTTTATAAAGTTTTTATAAAAAAACTACATTTACAGACATGTTTAATTTTTTATTGAAAACCAGTTACGTAATGATGAGGTATATTACAAAATAAGAAAAAATAGGGCCTAGTATGACAAATTGTGTATTTCTGTTTCCCCTTTCTGCAATTACATTTGTTATCCTGTTCTCTTTCAGTATATATTGATTTTTTTCGCATTTTTGCTGGCTCTCAAAGCAAAATTGCCTCCAGAGTTTCTTCCAGGCATCTCTTCGGGGGTGGGGGGGGGGCGAAGCCCCCCCCCCCCCGAACATTTTTTACCGCCCCCCCCCACCCCCCGAACAAAATGAAATTTACATGATTTATATAGAAAATATATACTTTTAACAGTGTCCGCCCCCCCCCCCCCGAAGAAAGTCTACCGCCCCCCCGAAAATTTCAAGTGCACCCCCCGGAGAAAAAAGTCTGGAAGAAACACTGATTGCCTCCATCTCTACTTCAACCCTATCTTGTTCCTGCTTTAGTCAGTATATGAAGGAATAGTGTGGTCAGACCCATGCTCAGCCGAAATCAGTGTTTTTAAAAGATAAAAAAAACGTCTTTTTGAATGTGGGGTCTGGTTATTTTGTGATAAGTGACAGGCATGATGTCTTTTATGTATGACCCCCGAAACCCACAGTTATCTTCTAACTAAATAACGGGTAGTCAAGTATGCTACTAAAACACAAGTTTGTTTACATGTTTAAACATTAATTATTTTTTTTGTCCGTTTGGTTATAGGAGAGAATCTGCAATTTTTTTTTGTTTTTAGACAGACTGTTAATCACAAATTTATTTAAAGACGTTAATTAATTAATTGATTTATTCATTGGTAGATTAACCACATTAATTTTAAAAGTTCAGAACAATGACTTTACTAATAGTGAATATTGACATCACGTAATTTATTTACTTTTTACAACATTAATGGCGGCTTTCATACAAGATTGTTTTGCCATTCAGAACTTTGACGCGTTATAAAGCTAATTTTCTGTTGGCTATAGCTTTAACGATGCGTCCGTTTGCTATTTTTATTAGGTTTCAACACTATTATCAAATTTTAACAGTTCTTTTTATTTTTGTTTACAATACATTTGTCTAAATCTACAGATTAGCTGTCGAAGGAAGAAAAAGTTATGAATCTAGAATCTAGATCTAGATTCTATATCTTGATCTACGATACTAGACTTTAAATTCTAAATCTAGACATAATGTAAATGCTACATTTAAAATATCGATCTAGAATCTATTTCAGGCCTTAGTTACTTTATATAAATCCATGTTTAGCTTCAATGATCATCTAATTCGAGAATGCATCGGATTTATCTATCTAGGTTCTAGGTCTAGATCTAGAGTTACGGCAAAATCTAGAATCTAGGCTCAACGTAAATTCTACATCTAGATCTAGATCTAGACGTAAATTCTACGTCTTGAATCTAGAACTAGAATCTATATATTAAACTATTTCAGGTCTTAATTATTTGATATAAATCTTTGTTTGTTTAGCTATGGAATTGGCTAATTTGGGATATTGGCCCCTAATTAAATTTAAAATAATACTAATATGACCTATTCGCGTAACTGGTTTCTTACTTTGCAGTACATTATAGGACTAATTCTACATAATTCAGTACATATATATCTAAGATAATAGTGTTATGGCTACCATGCGGGTGGTAAGGGTTCGAGACACGACAGTTTTTTCTTTTTTTCTGGTTTAGAGGGATCATTAAGTAGTCCAATATTATACCGGTATAACCTATTATTTTCTAACAACTTGAATTTTACTTAAGCAATAAAAAGGTGTTGGTTTGAAGCAACATCAGCTCCTCTATAGACACGCACACCTTCAAGGGATCTGTACTTTTTATTATTCTAATATGGCCTATCTGGTTTTCCCTATACAAGTCAGGTGATATCCATGTAGCTTCATGTAATCTTGTAGGATTAAAGAGTTCAACCAATTACTGTTACTTCTGGCACACATGTCAGCAGATATTACGCCCCATTATCTTAAACCCACCTAAACCCTGCTGTGCAAAAAACCATCATATGCTATGTTGGCCCTTCCAATCTTAGAAATAAAGTCAACCATGAGAATAAGGATGATTTTTCTTGATAGGTTGTTGATGGTTATTATTAAGTTGTAGAATTAATCTTTGTCCTCTTCTTTGCTGTTATTTGTCGTGGTATATGGTTGTATTATTTTTATGTTTATACTTCCCAATTTTATCCTTACAAACACACACATTCGTACAAATTGTTTTAATAACAAGCGTTTGTTTAATAATGCATTAAAAAGTAGAAAATTAATGATTTTCTTTAAATATACAGAAATACATTACTATGTAAATAACTATAAATAGGCGGGGTCTAAATATTTTAGCAATAACATTTCGATAAAATTGCAAATAAAGCACAAACATTTGTGCAGATTTGTATTTGAAGTTTGTATTTATTTCCTATCACACGTAAATAGCAAATAAAGATCATTCAACGAATCACTTTAATGCATATTTAAGATATCACTGTTAATAGATCAATAGCTAAAAAAAAACATTGTATAATATTGTTTTAAAAAAAAAACATGTGACTACCATTTTGAGATTATTTAATATAAGTAGTAAATACTTGGATACAAATATTTAGCACCTGTTTAAAGCCTAAACATTTGTTTTCAACTATTCGATATCGACTATAACAATTAAATCACTCATTTTAAATAAACTTTCAAAACAGAAATATGTATGTTTGCACAAACATATTTGACTTGCTTTTAAACAGGCCCTTTGTTAGCAAATTATAAATCGAGAGTAATTAATTAATTTATCTTTGGTGAAATTTGTTTCTCTTTAATGTTTATTTAAACTTTTTTGGATCACGGCATTGCTCTTCAAGCCAAGCTTTGCTATCGTAGACTTTGGGTTTGATGCTTGCGTTTCTCAACTTGTTACAAATTGTGCAGTAAAAATTTGGTGTCCTTAAAAACCTGTATTGGTCCTTAGCTCTCAGAATATCGCTATACCGCTCAACATCTGAGCTCAAATTCTTCAAAAACATAGCCAAATCTTTAGCTGTTTTAAAGCTATCAGCATTAATAAAAGTATTTTCAGGAATACTTCTATCATAATCTGCGCCGCCTCTAACTACTGGTACCACGTTTATATTTGGTAGAAATAATCGAAGCAGTTTTTCTGTGAAGTAATCCTTACAAAAGGAGTTCTCGAAAGACAGATAAAACTTGTATTTGTTCAGTTCCGGCGTGAGGCAGTCTGCGCTTGTGTTTGGCTGTCGACATAGGCTGGTGTTGCTGCATCGTCCAAAGATATCCACGTCGACGTATTTCTAACGGAAAAAAAGTTATCAGTTGAATATGATTTAAAAAAAAAACAAATATTATAATGATTTAGCTAAAATAAGATAATATTAAAGTAATCAATAATGGGTACACACATTTGTTTAAACACAATTAAAAAATGTTTGGATTAGAATGTGATTCTACCTTCATTTCTGCGACGTAATCTTCTCGCTTAGATTGTGTTCTACAATGGCTGACTAGCCACAAAACCGTCTTGTTCTTTTGCTTCGCAAGCTCCACTGAAAATATTTAAACTTAAGGAAATAATTTAAACTTTAAGTTTATAAAGTTTTACACTCTGATTAATGAAAGGTAAAATTATACGATAAACACATATGTATTTATTAAACTTGTTAAGGTTTCAACGATCTCTTTTTTCTGTATATGACAATATTTTTTTAAAATCGTGATTAAATATTTCTAGTAAGATAACTTAAAATGTATATTTTTTTTTCGACTAGAAATATGTATTTATTTATAATTAAACAGGTATTTGTTGTAGCCTAACAAAATCTTGAAACTTTGCGCAATCTAAATGAATACTTACGGTAATTAGTCTGTTTTACACTTTGAACTTTTTTTATGTATGCGTATGGCAAAAAAATATCAGCATCTACTCTATAATGAGCTGTAAAATTAAAGTCAAATCTCCAGGCAGATTTAGCTGTGAATATAACATTATTCTTACTTACAAAGTATATAAGTTCCTGCATTTTAAAAAAAGCAAAATTGGGTTGCTAATGTCGCTCTGAAAACAAAAGCAATTTTTTATGATACCACGTACAGAACACAAATGCTGTATTCTAAAGATTTTTCATGTATTCGTAAAGTAAGTTATTGTTCCAAATTGTAGTGACCAGAAAGATGCGCACAAAAAATAACGAACTTATTTTCTTGAATTCTACAATGTATCGACGTTATCAAAACATGACTAAATCTACATTTTTCCACGAAATATGACAACATTCAACTGCATTTGTCAGTTTGTGCAGTTCTCCGTTTGCGCATTTTTAATATATAAAAGCCCATGTGCGCACTTCTCTCTCTCTCTCTCTCTCTCTCTCTCTCTCTCTCTCTCTATCTCTCTGTCTGTCCGCAGAATATTTTCGCCGGATATCCAGTGTTTCTTCCAGACTTTTTTCTCCGGGGGGGGGGGGGGGCACTTGAAATTTTCGGGGGGGGGGGGGGGGCGGTAGACTTTCTTCTGGGGGCGGACACTGTTAAAAGTATATATTTCCTATATAAATTATATATATTTCATTTCGTTCGGGGGGGGGGGGGGCGGTAAAAAAATTGGGGGGGGGGGGGGGCTAAGCCCCCCCCCCGAAGAGATACCTGGAAGAAACTCTGCGGATATCACATCAGAATCTGCAGCGATATATGAAGAACTTTATACGGACTATTGTTGAAAATAATATATTAGATGTTTTAAATGTATAACCACAATTTTATTTAAAGAAGAAAAATAAAAAATAAAGGCGTATTCGAATGTAGAAAAACAGTTTTAATTATGCAACCTGAAAAATGTTTATACTTGGGACAAGAACGCATTTAACAATGACGTCGCTTATCGTTTACAATAAAAAAAAGAGCACGAAACTGATGACGTCATCTTCCGAGTTTAGAATAAAATAAAGAAATGAACTATTTCATTCAAATATGATTTAGAGCTAGATTCTACGTACGCTATGAAATGTATACAATACGATTTTCTCGGCCTAAACATTTATAAGTTTTTACTTTATTTAAATTCTAGATATAGATCTAGATTTCGATTCTAGATCTAGATTAGATCTACGGAAAAACTAGACGTAGATGCTTAGATCTGGATTTAGACTATCTACTAAAAGCTAAAAGCAGTAATGGTTGCCATGGAAACCACGAAAATGTGTAAAAACTAACACCTTTTCAAACCTCTATAACTTTGCTCTCATAAGAGATTTTTAAAAGCTGATAAAATATATAGAATTTTCTGACCAAACTATACATTTCTACATTTATTCATTGCGATAGCTCGTACTCAATTTTTAATAGAATTTCTTACGTACAGTTAAGTACAAAAATTAGTGTGGTGGTTCTGTACAAATATCAATATTTCCTAAAGAATTGTATTAAACTTAATGTAAAAACGTGGTTTTTTAGATAGTATATGCTAAATGCACGTGGAATGTTTCAGTCTTGTATGACAAAGGGTTCGAAAGCCTTGGCAATTTGAATGTTGAATTTTTAATAAAAATGAAAAGTTGAGAAAACGTGAAAAGAAGTGTGGAAAAAGGTATTGTGCATTTCCTTTCATAGAAAACAGAAATAGACGTCTTGTTAAGTGAGGAAGAATCATTTGACTAATTCAATTCGCGTTGATTTATGTTATAAGTTTTAGATAGATGTTTCGGTGAGTTATTACCGTACACTCAAGGTTTTTATGGGGTAGTGTAAGTAAACCCATGTCCCGATATTTACGATCAAGCGCAGGCACTGTTTACATTTTAAAAACTCAGCTTTAGTAACGCATGAAACCCCTCTTATATATATCGTCAGACTTTCTTCTATCCCCGCAGCAACTCGCGGGGACAGGTACGCTAGTATTTAATAGAATATTCCAACCTTTTCGGTTTTCATCATGTTTTATAAATACTAAATAGTGCGCAATATTATTAGTACTTTATAAATTTACTTGCGTTTTTTTTGAGAAATCGGAAATAGCGTAAATTAGTACTTCCGATCAACGGAAATTACTCAAAATTAGACAGAAGGTAGAGAATTAGATCTTTTTTTCTTACATGTGAAATTTCATTTATCTATTTGAAACAGTACTCAAGTTATAGGCTTTTGAAAAATTCAAAGTAAAAAAAGTACCACTTCCGGTTATTGGAAATCGCTCAAAAGTTAATACTGATCTACGATTTTGATAAAATACTTATATATGAAATTTCATCAACCTAGCTGTAACGGTATTCAAGTTATCGTGTTTACACACACAGACAGACACACACAGGCAGACAGACACGCTGACATACGGACAAGATTGCAAAACTATGTTTTTCCGTATCATTTAGGTGTAAAACGTCGAGATTTGTGAAAATCTCGATTTTGTTTTTGCACGATTACAAGACTTTCTCTATACTTCGTATATACGAGAAAGTAAAAATGAGATTATTGTTCAAAATATTTTCCAGTATTTTTACTTTCTCGTATGTACGTAGTATAGAGAAAGTATTGTAATCGTGCAAAAAAAAAAAATCGAGATTTTTACAAATCTCGACGTTTTACACCTCACTGATACGGAAAAACATAATTTTGCAATCTTGTCCGTATGTCTGTGTGTGTGTGTGTGTCTGTGTGTCTGTGTGTGTGTCCGTGTGTAAACACGATAACTTGAGTACAGTTACAGCTAGGTTGATGAAATTTCATATATAAGTATTATATCAAAATCGTAGATCCGTATCAACTTTTGAGCGATTTCCGATAACCGGAAGTGGTACTTTTTCTACTTTGAATTTTTCAAAAGCCTATAACTTGAGTACTATTTCAGATAGATAAATGAAATTTCACATGTAAGTAAAAAATCTAATTCTCTACCTTCTGTTAAATTTTGAGTAATTTCCGTTGACCGGAAGTAGTAATTTACGCTACTTCCGATTTCTCAAAAAGCTAATGTAAATTTTAAAAGTACTAATACTATTGCGCACTATTATACACACCTTTATTAGGCGTTCGCTTGGTGCGCAATTGTTTTTTACTGAGATTCTATTCTATTTTTAAAAATTTCAGTATTTAAAATGGATTAAAAATCATAACTATATTCCCAGTTACCATCCCCTGTTGTTTTATATAAGAATATTCGAGAAAGTTTAGGGGAGATCACTACCGGTTTATTACTTATTGTTATTAATCATAACGCTTTAGGTTTATGATTAGGCTACAAAATAAACAACATCCACAATAATAAATACCAAAAATTTTACAGTTCGCTACAATTAATTAAATCAAAATATTTCTGTCAGATTTCTGTGACTTTTTTCTGCGACTTTAATTTTTTCCGATAAAATTTTTCCTTTCTGACTTTGTTTCTGTGTTTTTTCCCTCTAAAAAAAATGTAGCTTTTTTCTGTGTTTTTTTTTAAGTTTTTTTTTTGCTGTGACTATTTTTCCGTTCACCTTAAAAATAGTTCCGTCAAAAGGGCTCCGACATATTGGCTTCCGACGAATAGGCTTCCGACATATAGGCTCCCAAGAAATGGGCTCACGACTTACTGGCTGCAGAAAAATGAATCGTATGACCACTATTGGTATAGATGTAACCATTTTATCCAACCCACCAACCACACGCAGTTCCTACCACCATAACCTCTTTTAAATGCCGGAATGAATTTTATTTTCATTCGCTGACAGCAATTCAAAAAAAATTCGAGCTCCTAACAACCAAATTTAACAAATTTTAAAATGTTGTAGTTGTTTTATTTACAACCGTGAAGATCTGTTGCTTAAAACGAGTATAGAAGTTTGAATAAATGGTATGTTAAACATGTTTTTATGATAAACGACGTTGTGTTTTGAAAACCTACAAGAATACTGCACATAATTGTTCATTGTTGGCATCTCTCTCTGCGTTAAATAGCCCACTACCTACTCATTTCATGTCAGTCATAACTAGATGACGCACTTAAAATAAGTGTTTCTGATAATTAATAAAAATAATACGTTGTATTATTTAAGTGTGTTGGCTAAAATAACTCTAAAGAATATTATCTGGAACCTATTTGACGGGAGCCTATTTGTTGGGAGCCTATATGACGCAACCCATTTGCCGCTGGCCTTTTTGACGGGGTCGACTTGACAGAGCTTTTATGTCGGGGCCATTTTGTCGACGCCGTGTTGATGGAGCCGTTTTTTGTCACTTGTCATTTTGACTCCGCACGGTTTTAAACACTGTTAAATAAATTTTTAAAAAAATATGTAAAACACTCACCATTCCACAGAGCGCTTGGTAAATTTGCTGGTGGCTCTGTATCCATCAACACGTACAGTTGACCCGGCCATCTTTGTGTTGGCCTCTGCCATTCCTTCAGGTGTAAGCCCATAACGAGAACGACGTCGGTGTCTTCTGTAACGTTGTCTTGATCAAAGACACAAGCGTTGTGGCAGCATTTCGGCACATCTTTTAAGTACGGCAGGAGCCAATACACCGGGTTGACCAAATGAATTGATATGGGCAAACCAATTTTTTGTTTATACTTCACTTTGTATAATGGGTCGTGAGGGCTAATAAATGTTTTGTTTGTAGTCTTAAAATGTGTAGCTAAAATAAGCGAATATGTTTCGTCAGTTACTACGTGAGAATAAATGTTTTTTTTTACTATTTTTTTCTCGAATGACACTATTACTCTCTTTGGTTGTATAATTCGTATGATTTAACTCTAAAAACGTTTCTATATAAGTAAACTTGATTTGATTGAATGTAGTATAGTTTAAGTACTTATATAAAAAGACCAGAACAGTAATTACTGATAAAACCACCATTGCTTTTTTGTAGTTCCCTGACATATTGATTGTTAATTTTGCTATCGATAATCCTTGAAATGAGAGACAAAACCTGGAAGAGAAAAGTGTATTAAAATTTAAATATTTGATTGCAGAAGCTCGACAATGTATCCACTAACTTATCTTATCTTATTTATCTTAGTTATCCGAGTTAATATTGGTAAGATTCACTTATTCTAAAATAAATAGGCTATTCCATGCTTTTTCATTACTCGTTGACACTGAAGTGTAATATGAAGGTCTGAAATGTAGAGTAGTACATGGCCAACAGACTACAGAGGCCTTCCCAGTACGGACCGGAGTAAGGCAGGGTTGCCTACTTTCACCATTCCTGTTGCTGCTGGCCATAGGATTATGATGATGTCAACATAGAAAACGCGAAACGGTATACAGTGAACACTGTGGAGCCAGCTGGATTACCTAGACTTTGCTGACGGCCTGGCCCTTCTTTCCCACACACAACAGCAAATGCAAGATAAAACCAACAGGGTTGCTAATTTTTCTACATGCCTGGGCCTGAACATCCATAGAGGGAAAAGTAAAGTTCTCAAAGTCAATGAATCAAACAGCAACCCTATAACATTGGCAGAAGAAGCCCTAGAAGAAGTGGATAGATTCACCTACTTTGGAAGTATTGTTGATAAGCAGGGTGGGACAGTAGTAGACATAAAAATAAGGACGGGCAAGACAAGAGCAGTCTTCAACCATCTAAAAATGTTTGGGGTTCTGGAGATTTAACCCCTGGAATAAAAACCGGATCTTCAACACACTAGTAAAACCTGTTTTACTCTATGGAGCTGAGACATGGAGAATAACTACTATAAATAAGAAGAACATACAATAATTTATAAACGTAGGCCTATGCCTCAGAAAGATGCTCCGAATTCGCTGGCCTAAAACCATCAGAAATGATGTTCTATGGCAATGGACAAATCAACTGCCAGTTGAAGTAGAGATCCTCCAGAGAAAATGGAAATGGATTGGCCACACTCTCAGGAAGCCTGTATCCAGCATAACAAGACAGGACCTCACCTGGAATCCACAAGGCAGGAGGAGGAGAGGCAGAACAAGAAAGACCTGGAGACGTGACCTGGAAGAAGACATCACGAAGATTGGATACACCTAGGGATAGTTAGAAACTAGCCCTGGACAGAGACGTCTATAAAGCTCTTATCAACGGCCTATTTTCCAGTAGGGACGACAGGCAAACCTAACCTAACCTAAGTGTGAACAATAACTATTTGAAAGAGAACCGATAACACATACAATTGAAAAAAAAATTCACTGCGATTTTAGAATACTTAGAATGTATGTAAAGTGCATATATATATATATATATATATATATATATATATATATATATATATATATATAAGTATGTGTTTCAGTGGTTTTAAGCAAAGCAATGTACGTAATGTCTGTTTGATAATAATAATTTTATTAGATCCGGTAATTTTCAAGCTCTAAAAACTAAGGTAAACAATAGACTATCCGTTTTAACAGTTGGGATTAAATTGACTGCAAAGTTATTTGAAATACTAGACCACCCATTATTCTTTGAATAAAGACCACCCATTATTCTTTGAATAAATGTGGGTTTGGGCGTCATTAAAAAATGACGACACGCTTGTTTGACGATTTTTATCTTGCCCCTTCCCCCTTACCACTGTCACACATTGTCACAAAAAGACAGATTCCAACATCTAAAAAGATGTCATACCTCAGCCACCATCTCTTTTTGTCTTATAAAAACACCAATTTCGACTGAACGTGTAGAGAGGCTGGAAGCAGGCGTCGTTAATGAAATATCACTATAAACAAAGATATATTTGAACGCCAAGGATAGCCCTGTACTTGTGTTTCGTCATTTTGAAACAAGCCATTCGGAACACACACAAAAGATATGAAGTTGTTTTGTTGGCATGAAGCTAGTTGCAAACGTCAGTAATTGATCGAACTGGAAATAAAGATGCAACAAATATCTGCCAAATAATACTACTCGGTGGCTTATAGCAGACAATAGACTACCCGTTATTCTTGAATAACCTTGGGTTTCGGGAGTAATCCACAACATCACGTTTGTTTGAAGATTTTCATCTTTCCCCTTACCTTCCCAATGTTACACATCGTCACAAAAAGTCAGAACCCACATGCAAAAAACATCACATCTCAGGCAATATGTTACTGTCTTTAAGAAACACCGATTTTGGTTGAGAATGGGTCTGAACACACTATTGCTTCATATGCCGAGGAAACAGAAACAGACGAACTCTACATCACCTGCCCCTTGTCCCGCAAAGTCCTGACAGGCAACTTCATCATTCACATCTAATAAAAAAAAATTGAAAAAAAAACAATATTTAACATTGACATGATGCCTCTCCGATTAGGTGCAAAATTAGTGGGAGTTTACTAATAGTCAGCGTAAGAAACTTGAGTTACTCGAATAGACCCTATTTTTCAAATAAAATTTATCCCGAATTAACCAATTCCATAGCTCAACAAAGATTTATATAAAATAATTAAGGCGTCAAAAAAATATTTAGTGTAGAAACTCAATATTTGCATAGATTCTAGAATCTAGATCATGATTGAGCTAGATCTAGATCTAGAATAAAAAAAAAAATTAGTATAGAAACTCAATATTGGCATAGATTCTAGATCATGATAGAGCTAGATCTAGATCTAGAATCTACGACTGGCTTAAGTCTAGTTTTTCAGCAGCTCTAGATCAAGATCTAGATAGATAAACTCCCTGTAATCTCGAATTAGATGATCCGTAAAGCTAAAACGCAAAGATTTATATCAAATATTTGAGGACTAAAATAGTTTAATAGAAAAACTCAATTATTTGTTGGGAATTTTTTATATAACTAATGTATTTATGTTTTACCAATCGATAGATCTAGAATATCTAAATCTTAGATACATTTATTGTATAGTCAAATGGAAAATAGTGTTGGAACCTAATAAAAATAGCAAACAGCTGCATTATTCACAAGCATGCCCTCGCCAGCAAGACTCTTCCGACTCCATTGCTAAAGGTACATAATTCAATAATAAAAGTCGTAAATTACATTAAATCTGAAGCCCTAAACACCCGACTGTTTAAAAAAATTGTGCAAAGAAATTAATTCTGGTCACAAGGTTCTACTTTTCTACACTACAGTATTCTGTATGTTCAAAGGGAATTATTGCGTTTTAAATTTAAAGGTGAAATCAAGTTCTTGGAAGTGCAAGGGAAACACGACCTTTTGATATACTGTACGACAAAGAGTGGTTGGAGAGAGTAGAATAAATAGCAGATATATTCAAACAGCAAAATAAGTTAAACCTGAAGCTTTAAGGAGAAGGAACGAATATTATCTCTTTTCATAGTATGGTAGGGTAGGGTAGGGTAGTGCGGGGCAGAGTAGAGCAGAGCAGAGCAGAGCAGAGCAGAGCAGAGCAAAGCAGAGCAATGCAGAGCAGAGTAGAGCAGAGTAGAGTAGAGTAGAGTAGAGTAGAGTAGAGTAGAGTAGAGCAGAGCAGAGCAGAGCAGAGTAGAGTAGAGTAGAGTAGAGTAGAGTAGAGTAGAGTAGAGTAGAGTAGAGTAGAGTAGAGTAGAGTAGAGTAGAGTAGAGTAGAGTAGAGTAGAGTAGAGTAGAGTAGAGTAGAGTAGAGTAGAGTAGAGTAGAGTAGAGTAGAGTAGAGTAGAGTAGAGTAGAGTAGAGTAGAGTAGAGTAGAGTAGAGTAGAGTAGAGTAGAGTAGAGTAGAGTAGAGTAGAGTAGAGTAGAGTAGAGTAGAGTAGAGTAGAGTAGAGTAGAGTAGAGTAGAGTAGAGTAGAGTAGAGTAGAGTAGAGTAGAGTAGAGTAGAGTAGAGTAGAGTAGAGTAGAGTAGAGTAGAGTAGAGTAGAGTAGAGTAGAGTAGAGTAGAGTAGAGTAGAGTAGAGTAGAGTAGAGTAGAGTAGAGTAGAGTAGAGTAGAGTAGAGTAGAGTAGAGTAGAGTAGAGTAGAGTAGAGTAGAGTAGAGTAGAGTAGAGTAGAGTAGAGTAGAGTAGAGTAGAGTAGAGTAGAGTAGAGTAGAGTAGAGTAGAGTAGAGTAGAGTAGAGTAGAGTAGAGTAGAGTAGAGTAGAGTAGAGTAGAGTAGAGTAGAGTAGAGTAGAGTAGAGTAGAGTAGAGTAGAGTAGAGTAGAGTAGAGTAGAGTAGAGTAGAGTAGAGTAGAGTAGAGTAGAGTAGAGTAGAGTAGAGTAGAGTAGAGTAGAGTAGAGTAGAGTAGAGTAGAGTAGAGTAGAGTAGAGTAGAGTAGAGTAGAGTAGAGTAGAGTAGAGTAGAGTAGAGTAGAGTAGAGTAGAGTAGAGTAGAGTAGAGTAGAGTAGAGTAGAGTAGAGTAGAGTAGAGTAGAGTAGAGTAGAGTAGAGTAGAGTAGAGTAGAGTAGAGTAGAGTAGAGTAGAGTAGAGTAGAGTAGAGTAGAGTAGAGTAGAGTAGAGTAGAGTAGAGTAGAGTAGAGTAGAGTAGAGTAGAGTAGAGTAGAGTA